GGCTCCAGGAGCCCCAGAGCCACCGCGGGCCCTGGCCTCTGCTCCGTTTCTCTCCAGCCCATTAAACAGTCCACCATCCACCCACCTACTGGCTCTGGCTCAAAATCTAGTCCCTTTAGACTCCCCCCGATCCCTGTTCTCCTAGATCATCACCAGCTCTGGCCAGCCAGCTTCAAAGTAGATCTGACATCTGTCCATCCAGGGCATGACTTAATCCAGCCCTCTTCTCCCCAGTGCTCACTGGGACACCTGCATAGCTCACCTCCCCCCACCCCCTCCCTCATCGGCTCTGGCCCCTGGTCTCTAGATCCAACCCAAACGCTCCTCCAGCCTCACCCACGGGGATCTCAAAATTGAAAGCAGGTCACTCCTCTCCTTGGCTTGAAACTGCCACGGCTGCCTGTCTCCCTAAGGATAACACCCCCACAGCTCCCTGGGGGCTAAAGGCCCTGCACCCCCAGCTCCTCCTGCCCCCACTCACCCACTCTAACCTGGCCGCACAGGCCTCCTTGCTCTCCTTAGAAGGAACCGTGTGAGTTCATTTATTCATTCAGCAAACACTAAAAGAGTCCTCTGTGTGGGCCTTCTCTCACGCACGGGGAACACAGCCGGGAAGAGCCTGTGCAGTGGATGTTCAGGGGAGGGACAGGATGGGCAAAGGACGCTTATAAAGAAAAGGATGGTTCTGTGGGTTAAGGTTACAAGGGTTGAGAAGGAAATACTAGTACACAAGGGGGATGTGGTGGAAGTCGGCTGGGGCTGTGCCTCCGACAACCCGGGAGGGCTTCACAGAGGAGGTGACATTATCAGGATTGTTGCTTGCTGGGCTGTAGGAGAGAGAGGTCGTTAGGGGGAGAGGGTTGACCTGGCGGGGGTGGGGATCTCAGGTGTCTTGTTCAAAGCCCAAATTCAAAGTCTCTTCTGTGGCCTATAGGAACCACAGGGGCTGGGCCGGGGAGGGAACGCTTCTCCCCCAGCCCTGCAGGAGGGGTTGCCTAGCACATGTTGTGACAACCACTGGCTGGAACCACCCTCTCCGTCCAGCCCTCACAGGACCTCCCACAGGAATCCACACCGGCCCATCCGCTCTGGGCACATGCAGCGCCCTGCTGTGCCAGCGGTTGGTCATCTCACCTTTCCGGCCTGGGATGTGATTCGGAGCTGTGCTATCTTTAACTCCGGGCCAGGACGCTCTGATCCCCTCCCCGCCCCGCCCCTGTGGTAAACACGCTCAGATGACAGCGCTGGAATCCTGTGGGGGTGGCGGGTTCTGTGCGGGGGTGGGGGGGTGGGGGTTAGCCATCAGGGCCTCCCCCGATGCCCCCTGCTGCCGCCTCAAGTCCAAGGACTGGAATTTCGGGAGTTGGCAGGCATTCATCCATTTCCTTACTCAGCACATGGGTGCTAAGGGCATGGCAGTGACCAAGACAGACCCTCACAGGGATCTGGAAGGTCAGGGAAAGGCATTATTAAGCAAGTAAATGAGCAAACGAGCAGGATTTCAGTTCTGCGGGGGCAGGAAGTGAGGTGGGAAGTGACAGTGAGTGGGGGGAGTGGCTCTCACTGGTGAGGGGGCTGCATGCTTCCTGGCCGAGTGAACGTGAGCAAATCCCTGCCCCTCACGGAGCCTCACTTTGCTCAGCTACCAGTGAAGCGGGCATTATCCTGGCTGTGTGGCCTTGAGCGGGCCATGTGGCCTCTCTGAACTTGTTTCTTCACTGATAAATTACCGGTAATCATTTTATCACGTACTTTCTTGTTTTGTTTTTTGCCTTCCTCCATCGAACCTGTTCCCTATTACAGAACCCCAACGTCACTTGGGGTACAGGTGTTTTGGGGCGGCGGGTTCCTCCTCCATCCCCCCATTTCTGGGCTGATCGTTCTTTTTTTAATTTTATTGATTTTTTAGGGAGGAAGAGAGAGGTATAGTTAGAAACATCGATGAGAAAGAATCATCGATCAGCTGCCTCTTGCATACTCCCTACTGGGGATGTGCCCGCAACCAAGGTACATGCCCTTGCCCGGAATCGAACCTGGGACCTTTCAGTCCACAGGCTGACGCTCTATCCACTGAGCCAAACCGGTTCCTGCTGGGCTACTGATTGTTCTGATCCACGTGAACGTGAACGCTGGGCTCTGGCTGGCAGAAAGATGCCTTCCCTCCTGCTGGCGGCCGTGTCAGGGCCGGAGGGAGCAGGCATCCCGTGTTGAGCTGTGGAAACAGCCTCCCCTGACCCGGGAAGGCTGTGACGGGCAGCCTGTAAGGAAAGCATTGGCACAGATCCGTGTTCCTTTTCAGTGAGCCTCCCAACACCCTTTGTCACCTCAGAATAGAAAGAAGGCCTATTGACCGGGCTGCGGTGAGCAGTTAGTGGGGCGGCCCACTAAGGCACGCAGAACGGTGCCAGCACAATCCAGGCTCAGTAAACGCTTCTGCGGTTATGTCTCTCCCAGGACACGGCTCGGAGCACCTGCTGATTTGAAATCCACTCCTTTAAGGCAAGGGTATAGGCATGTGGCGCCCGAGTGGATGTTGGCTATTGAGGGCTGTTGGAGACCCTCCAGCCCAGTGAGCTACTGGAGGGCGCGGCCTGGTCTTCCCTAGGCCACAGGAGGCAGAACATGGAAACCATCAGCCTCAGGAATGACAGCTCCAGCCTCCCCCTAAGGGACTGGCAAACAGTGGGTGCTTTGGAAAACCCAATTGGCCAGTGCCTTGGGTAGGAGTTTGACTGTGCTCATGTGGGGGAAAACAGAATCACAACTGAGATGGCAGTAAAAAAAAAAAAAAAAAAAAGAGAGGAGGCCTGACTTTTCCTAAGGGGGAAGCAGCTCCAGGAAACCCACCAAGTTCATGGACAGACAGACCTCTGGGGCCACAGCACCCACCGGTTCCATCCACGGGCCTCAGTGAGTTGGCAGGCTTTCAGAAGGGTCACACCCACCCTCTTTTCCGTGCCAAGTGAGGGGCATGAACTAAGGTGGGTGGTGTTCACTCCATTTCTGAGTGAAATCTTACACAGAGCCCCAGCACATGAAGAAAAACTCCTGCATGGAGGCATGGAGCAGGCTGACATACTTAGATGTGGGGATGGGTGGACGAGAAGAGATAAACCAAAGAATTTTTATACTTATATGCATAACCCATGGAGACACAGGCAACTGGGTGCTGAAGACCTGGGGGACTGAGCAGGGGCTGGGAGAAGGGTAAAGGGGGGGGGGGTGGTGTTAAAATGGGAAATATCTGTAATACTATCAACAATAAAATGTGTATGTATGTGCGTGTGCGTATATATACATATATATATTATAAATATATATACGAACTCATTAGAGATGGCAGCCTGAGGGCATCTCCTTTAAGTGGATTGGCACCCTGACCTTTCACTCTCAAGGTCACCCTTTTCCCCCCTTTGCCCCCCGCTACCCCAGCAAGGAACTGTTGGGTGGTTTTCTTCTCATGTTCTTTTTAATGACAAACACCAGCACAATTCAATGGCCTCATTTCTTTATTCTGTGCTGTTTCCCACCTCCACGAGGGTAAACCTGGTCTTGCGAATAAATAACATCCCAGTAACACTGCAAACCCACACGAGGCCTGGTGTCCTCAGAGGGCAGGGTATCCGTGGGCCTGCTGTGGTGTCGAGGCCCCCGTGTAGCTGCCATCTGACAAGGCTGCAGCGGTGTGGGGTAAGGATGCTTCTGTCCCCTTCTGCTACTCACTCTTGTTTAAGAGGCCAGGAAGAGTCCCCTTTGCCTGTCAGGGCGTAAGCAGTACTTCACGGGAAAGACCTCCCTGCAGCAGGTTCTCGAACACACGCACTTTATTCCTGAGTGACGGAAAGCCAAGACTTTGTACCGTCTCAGCTCTCGGCATTCCCCGTCTCATCCAGCTGATTTATAGAGTTAAATGCTGCTCTTAGGGTTTCCTTAGGAAGACCTGAGCAGTGGTGAGAGTAGCTGGAGCCACTTAGGGTGGCTCTACCCACAATGCTGTGCACTTGTAAATCTGGGAGAAGCCAAGCCCCCAAACAACCTTGCTAGTTCTCACTCAGTGGGGAACACATCAAGCTCAGCTCCTTGGGCGTTTGACCTGAACCTATTTAGAAAAAAAAATACTTCTCTAATGAGGACGGAAATACGGGAGGCTCAAGTAAAAGGCAAATGAGTGAAGCTTTAAGAAAGGTACAGCCACCTGCATTTTAGGAACCCATACTGTGGTCTGCCACCCCCTTCACCGAATTCTCCACACAATAAAGCCTCTCCCGAGGGCTTTGGCACCCTCAGGCATGACAAAACCCTGGGCGCACAACATTAACCTATCAAGTCTTCAAAGAAAATGTCCAATTCTTAAGAAAAAAAGAAAATACGGCAGCAAGACCTCAGAACTCCTGTGATGCCCGCAGCCTGCCCACCTACTAAATAAACAGAACACCAAACCAGCCCAAGCTACGCAAGCAGCAGGCTGCCCTAAACAGAGTCCTGCCTGTGTGGGGGAGGGGGGGGGGGGCAACTGTGCTGTAAGAAGTGAGAGACGGTCTTGCTTCTTGAGTCTCCAACTTTCCACGCTGGGAGCCCCCACTCCTAACACTGCGTTCTGTGGCTGGGTCTATCCAGCCTCATGAGGGGCAAAGAAGGACAGACCCAACTTTCAGTTTCTTCTGGTTTCTAGGATAGGAAAACAATGGCTTTGATCCCTCTGCCTCTCAGGAAGCAAAATCTCCCTAGACCCAGGCAGATGGGATACGCAGAAAGTAGTGAATCTTCTCCCATGAAGGACGGTGCACGTCCTCCTGGAGAAACATAGCTCTCCGAGCACATGCATGATCCTGAAGGCTTCTAGAACCAACAGCTAACTCCTCTCCCCACCTTCTGCTAGGTGAAAGGCTGTGGGGTCGGGAGCGCCCTTCTTCCTGTTTCATGCCACTTGAAGTGCTCACCAGGGGATGGCGAGGACTGGTGTGCGCACCTCTCCAGGTTTCTCCCCTCTCGGAAGCCTATCAGTGCAGTTCAATGAAAGCCTCCAGCTCCTCAGGGATGAAGCCCTTGTAGGGGATTTTATTCTTGTCCAGGGTGCGGGCTGCAAGGCACTGCAGGGTTACGTAGTTGAAGGGCTGGATGGTGCTCTTAGCCAGCAGCTTCTCATCCAGCAGCTCGTAGGCTGTTTTCTTGAAGGCGTTGGTGGCATCCATGTGGGCCCCGGCTTCAATCAGGGCGTTCATAATCCCCGGACAATTGTTCTGAGCAGCTATGTGCAACGGCGTGTTGTTGTCAAAGTCCCGACTGTCTGGGTCGGCCCCACAGTCAAGCAGTACCTTGACCACCTGGAGGGAGGGGAACCTGCCCACTGGGTATCGGCCCACGTTTGTGGTGTCCTTGTCCACGGCCATGTGCAAAGGAGTGAAGCCATTCTTGCCCCGGGGGGCGCACTTCAGCAGCCGGTAGACGGTCTGATGCTTCAGATGCTCCTGGTCGGGCGTGCACTCCACTTTCTCCAACAGGTAGAGCAGGTGGAGGATGATGGCCAGGGCCTTGGTGAACTGGACAGAGTCCCCAGGCTCCTTGGGCAGCTGCAGGGCCCGTTCCACTTCCCGGACCCCCTTGCAGAGCACCCCCATGAGATCAGCAAAGCCAATTTGGGTGCCCAGGCTGCCCTTGGCTGCCCGGTCCTGAAGTACATAAGAGAAGAGTTCGGCAAATGAGAGGAAGCTGCTGGCTGTCATGGGGCTCAGGGGCTCCAGGTTGTTCTGTTGCATGTCTAGGGCATATTTCCACAAGCGGATGCAGCGCTCAAAGTTGCCCGAGTCGGCGTACACGGCACCCCTATATCGGATATAGTAAGAAGTGTCTGGGTGAGAGGGCCCCAGGATGCGCTCTCGGATCAACAGGGCCTGCATGCGCATCTCGTCCGGGTCGGTTATAAGTGCTTCCAGTTCCTCGGCCGTGTTCACCTCCCTGGAATAATCATAGGCGAGGACCAGCTGCGGGGGCTCCGGTTTGGGCAGGTACTCGCCCCCCTGGTGCCGCAGCTCCATGGCCCGTCTCCAGTGTTTCAGGGCCCCAAGCAGATCACGCTTCTTATCCACGTACGTGGCCCCCAGCAATTCCAAGGCTTCCACAGCAGCTTCCCGGCTGGTGGGGCAGCAGCTCTCATAAGTTTCACTCAGTGGTTCCTCCGGGGAGGAAGGGCCACCGCCGGCCCCCTGGGACTTCTCGCATCCCAGACCAGAGGGGCCATCTTGGGCCAGCCCGGGCTGCACTTCCATGCCGGCAGGCTGCTCCTGAATAAGGTATTCCACGATGTTGGTGTGGCCGGTCACACTGGCGGCCAGCAACGGGGTCATGCCGTAGCCATCGCGCTCCATGCGAGCGTTGCACCCGAGCAGCAGCTGCAGGATCTCCAGGCTGCCGGACTCGGCGCAGTCGTGCAGGGCGGTGTTGCCCTTGGCGCTGCGCCGGTTCACCTGGGCGCCCTGCTCCAGCAGGTAGCGGGCGATCTCGCGGTGGCCCTTGTAGCAGGAGATCATGAGGCACGTGTGCCCGTGCCGGTTGGCCACCTCCAGGTCGGCCTGGTGCTCGCCCACCAGGTAGCGCACCACCTCCAGGTGCCCGTCGAAGCAGGCGGCACGCAGGGGCGTGGAGTTGGTGCGCGTGGTGCGGTTCACCGAGGCGCCGCGGCGCAGCAGGCTCCGCACCACGTCCAGGTGGCCGGCGGCCGAGGCGGCCCACAGCGGCGGCGCGCCCTCGATGGTCTCGCCGTCGAAGTGCACCGAGCCGCTCGCCTCCACGCTCGCGCCGCACCGGTCCACCAGGTACTCCACCACGTCCAGGTGGCCGTAGCGGGAGGCGATGAGCAGCGGCGTCCCCTCGCCGGCCACCTCGCCCGTCAGCTCGTCCAGCTCCTCCCGGCTCCGGCCGCTGAGCAGCTTTTGCAGCAGCTGGAGCTTGCCGTCGCGGGCGGCATTGTACACGACGGTGCGGAGGTCCATGGTCCGGACCTCCGCCAGGCCATCGGCTGGCCGCCGGGAGACGGGGAGACGGCGGGCTACAGCCCCGAGGGCCCGGCTGCAACCTTCACCGTCTCCCCCGCCGCCATCTTAGGGGCTCCTTGGGCGGAACAAAATGGTGGCCGCTGCCGGGAGCCGCGGCCTAATGGGAGCTCGCAGAGAAATGTAGTCCTCGGAGCCCGCCTGCTCTGTAGGATAGGGAAGGAACTGTGCGGTTTGAGAACTCTATCTCCCAGAAGCTCGCGGGCTAGCCGCAAGCGAACTTTTAGCACGGCGCATGGTGGGAATTGTCGTTCCTTTTGCCGCCGACTGTGGCGGAAACTGTCGACGGAGGACTACAATTCCCGAGATGCAATGCCATCGCGATAGCTTATGGGATCCAAGGAAGTTTTGTGACTGTCTCAGTGCCGTAGCCAACAGGAAACGCAAGCAAGCGCCAAAGACTACATTCCCCAGAAGTCACCGGGAGCGACTTGGGCGCCTATTACCCAGAGGGAAAGCCGGCTAAGCCGGCCGAGCAGTCTGATTTGGACTGCTGACCGACAGGGGGCGCTCGGAGAGGCAGGAAAGCCAGCAGGGCGAGGACAGTAGGGGTGCAGTAAGTACAGGTGGCCCCTAAGGGTCAATCTCGTGCACTCACTTCTCATGCATTTATTCTTTCATTCACTCACCCTTCAATACTGTCAACTGAAGGTGGTGGCCACCAAGGCAGTCACTCCCAGAGATTCTCGGGGTGCCCTCATGAGGGGCGGCTTTAGGGACACAGTTGTGATACAGCTTGTGTGTGGACCGGCTGGGCTGTGAGGCCGCTCAGTCCAGACAGCCCGGTGAGGGTCTCGCTGCTTCCGTGCCGGTGTCACGGCTCCTGCTGAGGGAACGCAGTCTTGGAGGGAAACTGAGAGGGAACTCTGTGGAGGCTGAGGTGAAGCTGGCCCATTGAGCGGGCTCTCTCGTGTTTTGTTTTGTTTTTTTGTTTTGTTTGTTTGTTTAATTGTTTTAAGGTTCTGAAGTAATTTTTTATCCAAAATTTTTTATCCTATAATATTGAATTATAGGAAAGTCTTTTTCTCAATTTTGGTACTAATTATCCACTATTCTCTGAGGAAGCCAAGACCGTCATGCTGGCTAGACTAGTGTAGACCCTCTTGTTTGCCTTCCCACCAAGCTGAACCCTGCCCAAATTCCTGACCTACCGACTCCAGGACATGTACGAAAATGGTTGTTTTAAGAGCGTGTGTTCTGGAGTAGTTTGTGATGCAGCAATAGTAACTGGAACCGGGTTCAATGTAGCCTGTGGCTTTAATTTCACTGTCTATACTTACTAACCAAATCACACAGTTCCCTAAGAGTTTGTTTACTGTGTCTGCTTCCTCTCTGGAGGACTGCCTGTTCAATGGGAAAATACACCTTGGTTTAGATTCTAAGAAACAGTCTCATTGTGTTCCTGAAGGGACCGGATAGATCCACGCTGCTTCCCGCAGCCTGAGGTATTGATATATGCCGTTATATAATTAGTTCAGCCATGTTTATTGATATTCTAAGCACAGACTGTGTTTTGGGTTCCTTGCCACAAGCTGGGGGTGTCGCCGTGAGCAGGCAGACAAGTGTTCTCAAGAACCCAGACTCTGATCAAGGGAGGGAGGCTAGGTCAGGGTGTGCAGCCAGGGATGCGGGAACCCAGAGGAGGAATCGGTTAGACCTGGCTGGGGAGGGAGGTGTTTCACTGGTAGGGAATTTTTCAGGTGAAGTTGTTGAGAGAAGCAGTGTTTCATATCATTCTAGTTAATCTGTTTGGCTCAATACATTACCTCAGGCTTGGTGACTGCTGTGGACTGAATTGCGTCCTCCCAGAATTCGTAGGTTGAAGCCCCAAATGCGGCCGCATTTGCAGACAGAGGCTTTAGGGGGTGTCACCCAGCCTTGACAATCATCCAGGGCACTTCCACCCCATGCTGTTTTCTGGGAGAAGCTCGTTAAGTCTGAGCCACTTCAAAGGGAGAGAACCAGACACCATTCTCTCAAGGGAAGGGAGTTAGATGTGGGAGAGATGTCAGTAAGTTTGAAGATATGCTTTAAAATCATACACAGGCCCTCGCTGGTGTTTCTCAGTGGTTAGAGCATCAGCCTGTGCACCAAAGGGTTGTGGGGTCAATTCTTGGTCAAGGGCACGTACCTGGATTGCAGGCTTGATCCCTGGACCAGTCAGGGTGCATGCGAGAGGCAGCCAATTGATGTGTCTCTCTCACATCACTGTTTCTCTCTCTCTCCTCCTCTTTTCCTCCCTCCACTCTCTAAAAATTTAATGGAAAAAATATCCTTCCATGAAGATTGGCAAAAAACAAACAAACAAACAAAAAAACAACATACCCCACAACAAAGAAAAAAAAGACCACACACAGAGCAAAGACCCAGGGGATAGACGGTAGCAAAGGCACGATGCAGTCAGTACTTCTCACTCCATGCCTACAAGACAGCCTTTTAGGGGAATTCTTCGACAGCAATGAGGGGACAGTCCCTTCTCTTTAAAAGTGCAATTGGTTCTTTTTATCACATGCTGGATAAAACATTCAGAGCTAAGCACATCTATCAAAAGGACATTTCATCAAGTCCTCTTGATTTTTTCTACAAGATAAGACATTGCTGAATAAAAAACAGACATCGTCCACACTACTTTCTTAGCCATCTCTGGTGAAATTTTTTATTTTATTTTATTTTATTTTTTTATTTTATTTTTTATGGCAGAAGTCTGACTTGTGAAGATACCCACTCACACATGAAGTTTGGGGAAAGAGGGAGGAGCCTACCATGGGAAAATTATGTGGGGACGTTTTATTCATTTTAATCTATTTTTTATTGATATCAGAGAGGAAGGGAGAGAGAGATAGGAACATAATGATGAGAGAGAATCATTGTTTGGCTGCCTCCTGCATGCCCACACTGGGGATCAAGCCCGCAACCCAGGCATTTGCCATGACTTGGAATTGAACTATGACCCCTGGTTCATAGGTCGACACTCAACCACTGAGCCACACTGGCTTGGTCATGGGGACATTTTATTTCATTATTTTTAAAAATATATTTTATTGATTTTTTTACAGAGAGGAAGAGAGAGGGATAGAAAGTTAGAAACATCGATGAGAGAGAAACATTGATCAGCTGCCTCCTGCACACCCCCGCTGGGATGTGCCCACAACGAAGGTACATGCCTTTGACCGGAATCGAACCCAGGACCCTTCAGTCCCACAGGCCGATGCTTTATCCACTGAGCTAAACCGGTTTTGGCCATGGGGGACATTTTAGTCACCACTTCTCAAGCACAGATACTGATATTGGCGGCATTCAATGATATGTGTTCTTTCTTTCTCATTGAGGGCCTTACAGGTGACCTTCGCTCATTTCTAATAGAAATGTTGAGTAGCAGGAGTGTGCGGTTCCCTGTGACAACAAGCAAGAGAGAAGCTTTTCTTTGAGCATGCAATTTAAAAAATTGAAATAAGATTATCTCTGTTAACATGTGCAACTCATCGCATTTAGGACATTCACCATGTTGTACAACCATCACTTCTGTCTAGTTCCAAAATACAGGGGTGGGCAAAAGTAGGTTCATAGTTGTGAGTATGCAAACAGTTTATTTTTGTATTATTTATTATATTATTTTCCATATGAACAACTGTAAACCGACTTTTTCCCACCGCCATATTTTTGTTACCCCAAAAAGAAACTCCTTCCCCATAAGCAGTCACCCCCCAATCTATATATTTATTATATACTAGAGGCCCAGTGAATGAAATTTGTGCACGGGGGTCGGAAGGTCCCTGCACCCTCTCCAATCTGGCACCCCTTGGGGGATGTCCAATTGCCTCTCACAATCCAGGATTCCTGGCTCATAACCACTCATCTGCTGCCTGCCTATCTGACGGCTTCTAACCCCTCTGCCTGCCTGCCTGCCTGCCTGATCACCCCTAACTGCTCCCCTGCTAACCTGATCGCCTCTAACTGCCTCTGCCTTGCCCCACACCCAGGACCCAGGATTCCCTCCTCTGGCCAGTTGCAGGCACCCAGGACCCGGGCTGGCTTTGCCCAGGCCGGCTGCAGCTGCAGGGGACCGTGGACGGGCTTGTCCCTCTCTTGTGTCACAGCCTGACTGGTCCCCATTCCTCTCTCTCAAGCTCATTTGTGCCTGGCTGGTCCTCATTCTTCTCTTCCCAGTATTGAGTGTCTGAGCAGTTAAAGCGTGATGGCATGAGGGTGTGATGACCATTTACATATTAGTTCTTTATTATATAGGATTATATATGTTCATAAATGTGATATATAAATATATATGATACATGTTTATATTATACTGGAGGCCTGGTTGCACATGGGTACGGTCCCTAGGCCTGGCCAGCAATCAGGGTTAATCAAGTTCCCAGGTTCCCCACCTCTACGCCTCCCCACCTCCCTGTCTCCTCCTTCCCTCATTTCCTCAACACCCCTGCCACTGGTCACCTGCTGTGTTCCATGCTGCCCCCTGGTGGTCAGGGTATGTCATAGCATGTGATCAAACTTCCAGTCTCCTGGTCGAATTCCCAGAGAAACTAGATACCCAGTGCACAAATTCATGCACAGGTGGGGTCCGGTCAGCCCTGCCCCCTGGTCGAACTCCCAGTCAAACTCCTGGTGGAGAGGACAATTTGCATATTAGTCTTTTATTATATAGGACTAGAGGCCCGGTGCATGAAATTCGTGCACTGGGCGGGGGGGCGGTATCCATCAGCCCAAACTGCACCCTCTCCAATTTGGGACCCCTCAGGGGATGTCTGGCTGCCTGTTTAGGCCCGATCCCTAGGATCGGGCCTAAACAGACAGTTGAACATCCCTTACACAATCTGGGACTGCTGGTCTCAACTGCTTGCTTGCCTGCATGATTGCCATTAACCACTTCTGCCTGCTAGCCTGATCACCCCCTAACCACTCCCCTACCAGCCTGATTGACGCCT